GATGTGACCTTGGGTCAGTCACAAGCTCTGGCACAGCTGTCCTTGAAAAAGAGCAGTTTGTGTCAGAGCTCTCTCAGCCCCACTCACCTCACAGGGTGTCTGTTGTGGGGAGGGGAGGGGAGAGGAGTTTGTAAGCCGCTCTGAGACTCCGAGTGAAGGGCAGGGTATAAATCCAATCTCCTCCTCCTCCTCCTCCTCCTCCTCCTCCTCCTCCTCCTCCTTCTTCCTTACAGTAGAGGTCCATCAGTGGCTATTAGCCACAAGGTATAGATAGGAACTCTGGGGCAAGTGATGCTCTGTGTTCTTGGTGCTTGGGGGGGGGGCAAGAATGGGAGGACTTCTAGTGTCCTAGCCCCACTGCTGGACCTCCTGATGGCACCTGGTATTTCTGGCCACTGTGTGACAACAGAGTGTTGGACTGGATGGACCATTGGCCTGAGCCAACATTGGCTTCTTTTACGTTCTTATGTAAGCCCTCAATGGCTAGGGAACACCAGTGTTTTAGGCTTTGTTGCTATCAGGGGTCATTTCGTAGAAAAAGAGCTAGGGGGACTCATTAGCATAACTCATTAGCATATGCCACACCCCCTGACATCACCGGAAGTGTGTCCTCCCCACAGCCGGCGGCGACCACCAGCGGGCACCAGCAGGGAGCTTCAGGCCCCGCCCTCCCACACCTCACCCGGGGGGATGGCGTCCCCCCGCGTCCCCCCCCCAAATGACCCCTGGTTGCTATCATTAAAAGGCAGAGGAAGGGGGCCTGCACATTTCCAGGGCTTTTTTGGCCAGTGAGGAAGGACTTCTTGGGGGCAGGCCTGGCAGTAAACGCTATGTGACTCAAATGTGAATTTGTTGTAGGAATTCTAGTGGAGAAGATTGTAGCGTAAAAATGAAGTGAGACATACGTACTCCCCCCCCCCTACTGAAGGACCTCTCTCTAGACCACATTGGTGGTTCTGCCCTCAGGGGCTAGGATCACCAGGCTGCTTGATGAGCTCACTCTGGAGCAGGCCACATAGAACTGTCCATTTAAGAAGCAGTCGTCTGTTAAGTCAATTCCTGCCACCTTCCATGAAAGTGATGGCCTCTCTACTGGTGTTCCTGGATTGTTTTGCTCATATGGAGACTGTGTTGTTCTGAGCACCTCAGGGTGATCTTGCTGGTACTTGGCCTGCACAGCTCAGTGCACCGCAGGAGTACTATGTGCAGACGTCTTTGCTGCATTCCTAAATTGCCTCCTTCTGGCAGCTGCCTGTCCAGTGTAGGAGGGGGAGGGGGGAGGAGTATTAGAAGTCACTGTGGAGGTGGGGCTTGCAGCATCACTAAGACATTACTGCTGGGGCAGGCTCCCTTGTGGCTTTAAGCACCCTGCGACTGCTGCTGCACCTGAGAGACAGCCACCTGTTAGGTGTAGGAGGTGGGGGGAGTGTGTCGGAAACCATCAGAGAGGCTGGGCCAGCAGCATTACTGCTCCTCACAGGTGGGTGTTGGCCATTCCTGATTTCCTCAACTGTTATTAGCTGTCTGCAGACTCCTGTAACTGTTGGCTTTTTGAGCTCTGCAGCTGACCAGTCAGAGAGTGGGGGGTGCAAGGAGGCAGCAGCCTGGCAGCCACATAGGAATCAATGGGAGGGAGCACATTTTACCCCTTTTGACTCCCTTAGGGGTAGAATTCCTAAGAAATCCCTTCTTAGTGAGCATCTACATCATAGTAGGAGCGCTCATCGCAATTTGGTGTTTCTAGGTCCAGCGGTTTGGCCTGGGCGTTGATTTTACAGTGAGGGGGACTTTCTTTTGTATATATAGATGTTGTTCCCCCCGCAACACAAACAGATGATAACCAGAACCCAAGCTTGTCATTCTTCTTACCTGTTCAAAACATCTTCAGTATTTTGCATACTAATCTAACAAGCCACCCTCTACATATACAACTATGATCTACAGGGCTTTTTTTGTAGAAAAAGCCCAGCAGGAACTCATTAGCATATTAGGCCACACCCATGACAGCACAGCTCATTAGCACATTAGGCCACACCCCCGTGTTACCAGAAGTGTGGTCATCCAGCCACACCCACCTTTTGCTTCTTATTCTGTTTACCTTGTTGTTTGTCAAAACCCAGGGCCTTTTTTTGTAGCAGGAACTCCTTTGCATGTTAGGCCACACACCCCTAATGTAGCCAATCCTGATGAGTTTCTGCTGTTGGGTGTGGCCTATTATGCTAATGAGTTCCTGCTGGGTGTGGCCAACTTGGGAGCCAGCCGGAACTCCATTCCTGTGCGTTCCAGCCCCAAAATAGCCCTGATTGATCTATAATTCTATTTCATTGTCTGACGAAGTGTGCGGTGCACACAAAAGCTCACGCCTTGATTAAAGCTTTGTTGGTCTGATAGGTGCCCACTGGACTCTGACTTGGTCCTCTCATTTCAAATATTGTCCTTTGATGTTGTTGTATTTGATATTGATTGCCAGACTATAGATAGAAAATTACATCGTATCAGAATGATTTGAAAACGTGGTTGATGTGCATTCGATTTATTTAATATCTGTAGCGCTATTGTTAACAGTGGTATTATTTTTTTCTTTACACGATTGATCCTCCCAGCTATGGTTATTGTCAGGGGCCAGCTGCTGGGAGCAGATGTTGCTCATTTTGAGGCAGCTACATTGGATGTAGTGGGCGGTGCTGGTTACAACCTCTACAGCCCTTTATGATGTGCTACCGTCATACCTGAAGGATCGTCCCTTATGTCCCTGGGCATCAGCTGTGGTCCTCAGATAGCCATCTGTTTGGTGTAGCCAGTTTGGTGTAGTGGTTGAGTGCGCGGACTCTAATCTGGGAGAACCGGGTTTGATCCCCCACTCCTCCACTTGCACCTGCTGGATGACCTTGGGCAAGCCATAGTTCTGACAAGAGCTGTTCTTGGAAAAAGCGCAGTTTCCTGCCTCCCAGGGTGTCTGTTGTGGGGAGGGGAAGGGAAAGGAGTTTGTAAGCCGTTCTGAGACACCTTTGGGTAGTGAAGGGCGGGGTGTAAATCCAATCTCTTCTTCTCCTTCTCTTCTTTCTTCTTCTTCTCTTCTATCCCACCACTTAGGGTGACCTGTCTTGCACTGTCTGGAGACTGGGCCTTTGCCATTGTGGCTTTGGCTCTAGGCCTTCTCCAATAAAAACAGCCACTTATTTAGAAACAAGAAGTCTTATTTCAGACATGGGTTGAACATGAAGATGGGACAAACTGCCACTGTGGAACCCTCTTTGATATGTGTGGAGACTGAACAGAAAATCCTGCGAGGCACGCCCGGGGTCAAAGTTCAGACTTCCCAGGTCAAAGTTTGAATTCCCACGGAGACACTCTCGCCGGGAGAATTGGCAAGCAGGACATATTCTTTGCTGAGTCTGCATGAGCCTGCACGATGAATTACTGAGAACACAGTCTTTGCAACATTCGGGGAAAGATGAGCTATGAGAAAAGAACATTCTGTGAACTACACTGTACCTTTTAGCTTACAAAGTCTTTTGCTCTGATTGTAACAAACTTGACTGAGCCTTCTTGATTCTAATAAAATGCTGCTGTGAGAGAGCCTGTTAGCTGAGAGAGAAGCTCAGAGAGACAGTCTTGGTACAGAGAGAGACGAGAGACAGAGCTGTTCTGCAGCTTCAAGAAATCTCTTGTGTGGTGTCGTGATTTGAACCCTGGTAAAAGTCAACAGATAGGCTTTTCCGAAGAGCTGTGAATCTGCCTTGGAACAATGTGCCAGGAAGAGGAATTAGCAGGACCCATCAAGTGACCAGCTTTTAATTGCCAGAGTGCCATTTACTTAGTAGACCAAACGAAAAGGCTCAAACTCGCGAGTAGGGGCCGCACGATCCTTCTTGTAAATCTTAACAGAGTAGGGGGCCATACGATCTTCCTTGGGAAGATTCTTCCACATTATTGAGGAGTGAGTTGTCAAGGATCTGTAGGGTTGCCCGTGTCTTCCCCCTGTTGGTGGGGGGATTTGGGGGGTGTTCTGGGGTGTGGGAGGGGACATCAGAGATGCGCTGGCATAACTTCCAGAAGTGACATGATCACATTGGTGCTATTGGGGCAACACTCTACTTTTTGGGCAAAACTCTGTGATAAACATAGCTACAAACCACAGAGTTTTGCCCCCAAAGTAGACCATCGCCCTGATGTTGCTGACATCAGCACGTTGTGACATTGCACAGGAACGTATGGCCGGTGGCAGCGTTTCCCCCGCAGGCCAGCTGGCCACCGGAGGGCCCACAAAATCAAGGGATCCCCCGTTTCCCCCTTGGGCCTGGGAAACCAAAGGATACGGCATGAATGAGATATTATGGCAGAAGCCTTCCACCATGCCCAGGGAGGTAGGAAGCTTAGGCAGCCACTCTCCCATACCCTAACCAACCTTACAGGGTTATTGTAAGGGGGAAAAGCCACAGAGAATAAAAATATGCTCTTCTGTGAGCTCAGCTGAGAACGCTGTGATAAAAATGCTTGATATAGGCAGTGTCAACCATTCTATGGGAAGGAGTGCTGAGCTGACATTTTTGCAGTAGTCAATATACAGTATGTCAAAAACCAATCATTGCAACAGCTCTCTGGAGGATGCCGCTATGGTGAGCCCCCAATTCTAATTTGGTGGAAGAGGAAAGGAGGGCAAAGATGGAAAGCAGTGAGACTAAAGGTGATGTGGGATTTGGACCCAGGACTGGCCAGCTCACATTCCCATCAGCTACTCTAAACCAGCCCAGACATTGCAGGAAAAAGTTGTAGAATTGCCAACCATTTCCAAAAACTAATGCAAATGCACCAGGCAGGAGTGTGCAAAGCAAGTGCCAAGTCCCATGATCCTTTAGACATGCCCGTAAACGTTTCCCGTAATCTGGAAAGTATTTGATCATAGCCTGTGCCTGTCTTGAAACCCAGCTCACATGACAGGTATAAATTGTGTTGCTAGACCCTTCCAATCATAGAATTCATTTGGTCTTCTTCTAGGAATCAGCAAGTGAACTGGGTGTGCTTTAGGAATCACCTCATTCTCAGGAGTGCATAGATACACTTCTTAGATTTGGGTAAGTATGAAAAGCCATGCATGTTGTGCTTCAGGTGGATAGCTGTGTTCCTTTATAGTAGTAAAACAAAAATGCAAGTCTAGTAGCCATTCAAAGACTAATTTCTTTGCCTCAGGATATTAGCTTTCACGGGTGAAAGCATGTATAGAGAGAGGGACAGAGGATTTGCATTTTACCCATTTATTTTGAATCCCTTGCTCAATCTGATGCGGGGCTAAAAGTATGTCTCTGAACATTTTCTTTTTAGAGAATACTTTATATAACTTTTGATGCTGGTAGTGATTCTCTGTACCACATAGATTTCCACCATCTTGGCCACACTATTTTAAAAGGAGCACTAGGAGGGGAAAGGCAGGCAGTTGGCAAGTGGATATTCCTCCAGGGCTGCACAAGGCAGTACAGACCCCACGCTGACCAGGAACTGGGCAGTGGGAGACACAGAGGCAAGGCCTCAGAACTTGGAAGGTTCCTACAAAGGTCAGGTGGTTGTGGCAACTTACTGGAGAGAGAAAAGCCTCTCCAGGTGTTAGGAGAAACTTGGAGAGCAGGGTGGAATAGGGCCTGCAGGCCAAAGCTGGCCCGTTTCACCAACCACAAATACACACTGTACCGGGTGTTGTTTTTCTAGATTGGCGGGCAACTCAAGATGACCCTGTCTTCATTCGAAGTGGCCATGAATACTATGGCCTCTGTTGTCAGTGACTACCTGGAGGAAAAGAAGAGAGTTCCCAAGATTACTAAGGATGGGCTGAATCAGCTGGTGAAAGAGCAGTTCCCACACTGCGAGAAGGTGAGGAGGGATTCATTCTCTACCTGCTCTTTCCCATGCATAATCTTATAAACCTCAATCATGTCTCCCCTCAGTCGTCGTTTCTCCAAGCTACCCTAAGCGCCTTAACCTTTCCTCATAGGGAAAGTGTTCCAACCCTTTTATCATTCGAGTTGCCCTTTCCGGCACTTTTTCCAAAGCTATAATATCTTTTTTAAGGTGTGGTGACCAGAACTGCACGCAGTATTCCAAATGAGGCCGCACCATTGATTTCACCCTGTACTGCATTCCATTCAGTATAGCCAAACTATGTTGCGTTTCCACTATCAACAAATAAGCCTTCTGCTGTCTCTGGTGCTGATTCTTTATCAGGAGAGGTCCGGTTTTGTTTGTGTATTGTGTGATGTGTGTGTTTTAGGGTTCAGCATGAATGCCAGTTTTGGAAGGATGTGCTAGAAAGCAGGCATGATAGGCTGGCAGGATTATAGCATTCATGCCCTAAGACATTACCCTATTCATGCATTCGACCTGTTTTGCAGACTCTGTGTTGGGAGGAGGCAGAGGCTGATAGGGAGGCGATGGGTGGCTGATGCCTCAGAGCACCCATTAGCATTATACAGAGACTGAAGAAGAACTGATCTCTTCATCCCCTCCTTGAGGATCTCACTTTATGGATTCTTATAGCCACTGTGAGGCAGGGAGGGCAATACGGTCAGCCCGATCCTCTCAGGTTCTCGGAAGATAAGCAGGGTCGGTACTTTGGAGGCCACCGAGGAAAACCCTGCAGAGGAAGGCAATGACAAACCTCCTGTGTTTCTCACTTTTCTTGAAGGCCCCTTGCTGGGGTCACCGTAGGTTGGCTGCAAGTGGATGGCACTTTATACAAACACACAGGGGTCATTTCCTGCGGGAGCGTACAGGAGTGGAGCTCTGGCAGTAAGGAGCCCAGGGGGCGGGCACATGCAACAAGCCCCACCCCTGGCTCCCAGCAGCCCTCAGTTGGGCCACGAGGAGCAAGAAGCACCCAGGTAAGTTGCAGAGCCCCCCCTCCGGCCGCCTTCAGGTGCAAGCTCTCCCTCCTCTGTGAGGGCAGATCTACGCATTCCCCCCACCCATAGCTAGCAATCCGAAACAGTCCAGTGGCTCCTTAAAGACCAAGTTTTATTCAGGTACAAGCTCTCCCTCCTCTGCGAGGACAGATCTGCATGTCCCCCCCCCCGAATAGCTAGCAATCCAATACAGTCCAGTGGAGCCTGAGTGGTGGGTGTTGCCTTCTGACACACTTCCGGTGATGTCAGGGGGTGTGGCATATGCAAATAAGTTATGCTAATGAGTTATGCTAATGAGCTCCTGCACCTCTTTTTCTACGAAATGACCCCTGCAAACACACAAATCAACTGAGAATTTATCAGTGTTAATTGACTGTAGAAAATAAACATTTTCCAATATCTGCATAATTTGGGAACAACAATCTAATGTGTAAGGGATGTGTGCATGTGCGTGTGAGTGTGCGTGAAGTGCAATCAAGTCACAGTCAACATATGGTGACTCTGTAGGTTTTTCAAGGCAAAAGACTAAGAAAAGCATAACATATACTTCCTCTGGAATGGTTACCCTGGAATTCCTTGGTGGTCCCCGTCCAAATGCAAACCAGGGCGGACTCTACTTAGCTTCCGAGATCTGATGAGAACAGGCCAGCATGGGTATAGTTTATTTGTAATTTATTGCATGTGTCTACATTTTATACAGGGAGACTTGGGGCCCAAAAGAAGTTTCCATTAAAAATAAATAGAAATGCCCTTTGCATCTTACTTCCTCATAGCATTAGTATAAATTATAACATTAAAAGAGACAAACATAAAGGGAATAAAGGAATCCTTAAGCAGAAGAGTCTCTTAAAATACATGTGTAATGATTCCTTATTTTAAGAGTGTGTGTGTCTCTTTAAATGTTTGGTTGGGGTGCAGTGATAGCGGAATAGAGTGATTGAGAGAGACAAGTGTGCTGTGACTGGTGGATGACAGAGTGTGGGAGGAGTTGTTTTTAAATGAATCTCGGTGTGTGTCTTGAAGTCAGTTATGAAAGTCAGTTAGAGAAATCAGTTGGAGTTTTGAGTTGGAGATATTCAGTTAGTGAGTCAGTGAGTGAGCTGACAGAGTCTGCGTGAAAACTTAAAGAGTAAAGAGTTCAGAATACAAGTCTGTGAAAGCTAAAGTTGGAAGGAGCTATGAGAAGGGTCTGTGAGACTCTAGAGTGGTGAAAAAGAACCTATAGTGCTAAGCTAGTGTGACTGCCTGTTAAAGAAAGAGATTCCTGTCAGAGTGGGATCTTAATGTTAAGAAGAGTGTGTGTGATACCTCACCAGTTTATTCATCATTGTTGGATCCCCAAGCATCGAGAATAAATCCACGTTTTCAAGAAAAGCAAAATTTATTTCAAAGCGTTGAAGACATACTCAAACACGTTCTTTGTTAGAACTGGGGATACACAGTTAGGTCAAGCATAATAAAGGAAATTCAAACAGATACAGATCCAATGAATAGCATTCCCGCTGGCGGGCTAATGAAACGGTTGCGCGCCCAGTCCATGGGAACCAGGCAGAACATCAGACAAAACACAGGTGCAGTACTCATGAGAAAAGCAATAGGCAAGCATTACAGCATCTTCTCCCCCACACAACCTCCAGCAGTTATCTTGTGCATTCCAACGCAGGAGCAGGATGATAGAAAACAAGCCGGGTGCAACAGGGAAAGGATATGTACACAGAGGTCACAGAAAACAGAATGGCAGCTTGCTGACATACTGCCCCCCTTAAAATACACTTACAACACACCTCCCGGGTCGGGCGGGAGATCTCCCGGGCTGGGCGGGAGACCTCCCGGTTTGTCCGGGAACCTCTTGTGGAAACTACGGATCAGGTAAGGGGCCCGAATATCCCCTTCTTCCACCCATTCGCGGTGCTGGGGACCGAAATCAACCCATTCGATAAGGTACCAGAGTTTACCACGTTTCAATTTACAATCAAGGATATCAGCGATCTCAAAATGTTCATCCCCTTCCAAAATGACAGGTGGAGGAGGAGTAACTGCTGGTCTCCAGGGAGACGGGCCAGGATCCTTCTTCAACAGGCTCATGTGAAAAACAGAATGCAGAGCACGTAAATTCTTAGGCAAAACAACATCAACCGCCACATCATTTATGACTTTACGCACTTTGAATGGACCAATGAACTTCCACCCCAATTTCCTGCTAGGCCGCAGCATCTTAATGTTCTTGGTCGAGACATACACAAGATCCCCAGGTTTCAGATCAAACCCCACCACCCTACCCTTGTCTGCCTGGGTCTTGTAAGCAGCCTTGGCTGCGTCAAGTGTTTGGCATAGCAGCGGCCATGCTTTTTGCAAGGACATACACCATGTATCAGCATCCCCCACAGGACGTTGGCCCATCCCCTCCAGGAAAGGGAGGGGGGGCTGTCGTAACCAGAGACAGCTTTATAAGGAGACATGCCCGTGGAGCTATGGACAGTATTGTTATAACAATATTCAGCAAGAGGCAACAATTCACACCAATCATTCTGTTGATAATTAGTAAAACAACGAAGATATTGCTCCAGGGTCTGATTAACTCGTTCTGTTTGTCCGTCAGTCTCAGGATGATACGCGCTGCTGAGCCCTTGTTCCACCCCTAAAATGGAAAGAAGTTCCCTCCAAAACTTAGAAACAAATTGGGTCCCCCTGTCAGAAATTAATTTAGCAGGTAATTGATGAATTTTCACCACGTGAGACATAAACGATTTCGCCAACCTCTGAGCTGTAGGCAAGGAAGGAAAAGGCACAAAATGAGCTTGCTTAGAAAATAAATCAACAACCACCCAAATAACAGTGTTCCCTTTGCTCGCAGGGAGGTCAGTAATAAAGTCCATGGACACCACTTCCCACGGTCTCGATGGGGTAGGGAGTGGCTGCAGAAGACCAGGAGGCTTGCCCACTCTGGGTTTAGTCAAGGCACAGGTTTGGCAGGACCGAACAAAAGTCAAGAGGTCTTTGCGCATCTGTGGCCACCAGAACTGTCTGCGGATGAGTTGCAGAGATTTAACAAAACTCCAATGCCCTGCCAGTTTCGAACCGTGAGCAGACTCCATCACCTCCCTCCTCATTGAAATAGGCACATACAGTTTGTCTCCAGAATAAATCAGACCTTCAGGGCTACGGACACAATCTGGCAACGCTTTCAGGGAGGCATCATCATCAGCAGTAAAAGCAGACATATATTTCTGGACCCAGCCCCCCCCCCCCCAGGGAAAAGGGAAGGCGAAGTTTCATCAGAGCGCGGAATCGAGCGCGCTTGCGCACGGGTGACCACAGCCCCCCCCAGGTGGGAGGGGGAAAAAACAGAGTCCATGATGATTTCACGCTGACTGTCATGTTGTGGGAGGCGTGAGAGCGCGTCAGCCAGGGAATTAGCCGTCCCAGGGAAATGACGAAGAGTGAATCGAAACTTAGCAAAGAAGTCCGCCCAACGAAGTTGTTTAGCGTTGAGAGAACGGGGGGATTTCAGCATTTCCAGATTTTTATGGTCAGTCCAGACTTCAAATGGCAGTTGCGCCCCCTCCAACCACTGCCTCCAAGTGGAGAGAGCCAGCCGGATCGCTGATGCCTCCTTCTCCCAAATCCCCCAGTTTCGTTCAGCGTCAGAAAACTTTTTAGACACAAATGCGAGGGGGTGTAAACGACCATCTTCCCCTTCTTGCAAAATAGCGGCCCCCATTGCCACATCCGAGGCATCAGTTTGGACAATGAATTTTTTAGTTTCATCAGGGCGCGCCAGCACTGGCTCAGAGGTGAACATCAGTTTAAGTTTCTCAAAAGCCTCTGCGCAAGCAGGGGACCATTTAAGCGGGGCGCCTGGTTTCGTAGCATCAAAACCCTTCCCCTTGGTCTTTAGCAAATCAGTCAGAGGAAGGGCAATTTGAGCGAAATTCTGGATGAAATTTCTATAAAAATTGGCGAATCCGAGGAACATTTGCAATTGTTTGCGGGTCCTGGGGGGTTCCCAGTCAAGTACAGCCTGTATTTTAGCAGGGTCCATTTCCACCTTCCCCCCAGAGATGCGATAACCCAAAAAGTCAATGCATGTCTTGTGGAATTCACATTTTGACAGCTTTGCAAACAGGTGGTGTTCATAAAGTCGCTTAAGGACCTGGCGCACCAATTTAATATGCGACGGGAGGTCCTGAGAGTACAGCAACACGTCATCAAGGTAAAGGACCACTCCTTTGAACAAGAACTCATGTAGGACCTCATTGATTAGGTTCATGAAGACCCCCGGAGCCCCTTGAAGCCCGAAGGGCATAACGAGGTACTCAAACTGCCCCAAAGGGGTATTAAATGCAGTCTTACTTTCATCCCCCTCCCGAATGCGCACACGGAAATATGCATCTCGGAGGTCAAGTTTCGAGAAGATTTTGCCCTTGGTGGCCTCAGCTACCAAGTCCTTGATTAGCGGGAGGGGGTAGGCATTGGACAAAGAAACAGCGTTCAGACCCCTATAATCAGTGCACAATCTAAGCCCCCCGTCTTTCTTCTTTCGGAAAAGTACAGGCGCGGCGAAAGGGGAGGAAGCCGGGCGAATGAAACCCCGGGCTAGATTTTTATCAATAAAGTTCCGCAGTTCAACTTTCTCAGCCGGCCCCATCGCATAGATTTTACCTTTAGGTAATTTACAGTCAGGCAAAAGTTCAATAGCACAGTCAGTAGAGCGATGGGGGGGCAATTCGTTAGCTTCATCTTCGCCAAACACTTTCGCCAAGTCTCTATACTCTCGAGGCAAAGAAGCTAACTCTTCCGGCTGCAAAGCGCCGCAGGGGAACTGTGCGGTCGGCTGGTCCCCCCACGAGTCCAACCAGCAGTGATCTACACATTTAGCCGACACAAATTTGACAACCCCTTCTTCCCACAAGATGTAAGGGTCATGGGTAAACAACCAGGGACTCCCCAGTACTAAGTCAAACTGCGATTTAGGGGTAACAATGAAGGATCTGGATTCCCAATGATCGCCAGCCCCCAACCGCAAAGCCATAGTCTCGTGTGTACAAGGTTCCATGGGTGCCCCATCCATTTGGGTAAAAATGATGGGAGACTTCAAGGGGACTATCCCCGCTTCCAGTGCCAATAACACTCTAGGGCTGATGAGATCCCTCCCACACCCAGAATCAATCAACGCTCTCACCCTAACGTGGGTCCCCAGGAGCGGATTCATTAACGAGACAGTCACGAAAAACAGGGAAGGGGTTTCTCTCACCACCTTGGGCGCAGAGCTAGAATGGCCGTGTCGTTTTGCGCCTCTCACAACAGGCCGTTGTCGTTTTCCGCCGTTTCAGCCACCACCTCCTCTTCTGACTCGGCAGCAGACGGTTCGATTCCCTCCAGGCCTTGGGCCGCCTGCAGAGCTTTGGAGAAACGCGGTTTAGCCATCCCCTTCTTCCCCGTCAGCGGTGTCTTCGGGCTTGGAGTAGGCGGCTTGTCTTTTACCTGACGGCTGCCACAATCCACAGCGAAATGCCCCTTCTCCCCGCACTTGAGACAGAGCCCCATCTTCATACGTAGTTCTCGTGCCGATTCCGACAGGCGTTGAGTCTTGGGTCTGGAGGCACTGGCAGCGGCGGGTCTGTTGGTCGTAGCAGCCAAGTCGAGTTTGATGGTGGTGAGCCGATCCTCTGCATTTTCAGCTTCCTGGGTCCAGGCCATCAGGGAGACAGGATTGACAGTCTTCAGAACCGTTTCTCGGATGTCTGCGTTGAGTCCCAATCGATACATCTCAGCCAATATATGATCAGGGTAGTCTCGGAGCTTTGCTGCCTGCTTGTGGAATTCCAGTGTGTACTCGCGAACCGACTTCTTATTCTGGCGGTAGGTGCGGAGAAACGCTTTAGCTCTTTGGCTCGCGTTGACATCTTCAAACCTCGCCCGCAGCGCCCACATGAATGCTCGCAAATTCAAAAGTTCCGGACCGCGGTCATTGTGCAGTCCAACATACCATGTGGCGGCGTCTCCTTTTAGTCTTGCCGAGATGACATCAATAAGACCAGCTTCATTTCGGAACAGGTGTCGGCTCTCTTCTACGAATTTATGCACTCTCACCGTGAAGAAAGCGAGTTCATCTGGGTTGCCGTCAAAGGTAGCCTCCAGTAGATCTTTGGGTCTGGGCCATGGAGGCCGTACCAACGGTCCCAGCTGACCCGGAACTCCCCTGAGAGGGAGACCCGGACCAACCGGTGGCCCCGCTGGCATTGGCCTCATCGGTGGCGGCAGACCCGGCACCGGCGGACCCCCCGGCATCGGCTGTTGCACAGGCCCTTGCTGAGGCGGTCCCGCCGGCGGCTGGACAGGCACCTGCGGCGCGGGAACTCCCGGTACTTGCAGCGGAGGTCCCGTCGGCGGCTGAGCAGGCACCTGCGGTGCGGGAACTCCCGGTGCAGGGACAACTTGTTGCTGCGCGGCGTGTGCGTCAAGGAAATTAGCCATTCTAACGTCCATCATTCCCGGCAGAGCTTCCATTACATCCTGGAATGTCCTCAACAAGTCCCTCACCGAGTATTCCAGTTCTGCCAGTCGTTCCCCGGTGGTTTCCTCCGGGATGGGGTCCCGAGGTCGATAGTCCGGGGGTGGGTCATAGTCCTCTTCCGTTTGGAAGGCTCCGGTGCCCTCCTCATCCTCTGCGTGGCCTCGCGGCCCCGATGGCTCGAACATCCACTCCTCGAGGTCTTGCTTGGAACTCCCCTTCTCCGAGGTAGTCCCCGGCTCCGGGAACAATCCCTTGTCAAACAGACTCTCACGTAATCCGCTCCCCCGACGGGAGTACACCTCTCGGGTGCCCTGAGTGTTGTACATAGTCCAGTCATCCTGCTGTTGAGTCTTCCGCGGACCCCAGTGCGAAGGGGTCGGAGGCGGCCAAGACAGATGTGCAGGCAGGCGGGGAATCGTTCCCCCCACGGCACCCTCCACCGAGGCTGCAGTCGTGAACACCAAAGGAGCGGAGGTATGTGGGACCGATCCTGAGTCCCCCTCCGTGTTAAGTAGGTTTCCCTCAGTTCCGCTCATGATCTTGCCAGATTCGGAACGATAGGAGAAAGAGAGTTCTAACAATATGTTGGATCCCCAAGCATCGAGAATAAATCCACGTTTTCAAGAAAAGCAAAATTTATTTCAAAGCGTTGAAGACATACTCAAACACGTTCTTTGTTAGAACTGGGGATACACAGTTAGGTCAAGCATAATAAAGGAAATTCAAACAGATACAGATCCAATGAATAGCATTCCCGCTGGCGGGCTAATGAAACGGTTGCGCGCCCAGTCCATGGGAACCAGGCAGAACATCAGACAAAACACAGGTGCAGTACTCATGAGAAAAGCAATAGGCAAGCATTACAGCATCTTCTCCCCCACACAACCTCCAGCAGTTATCTTGTGCATTCCAAGGCAGGAGCAGGATGATAGAAAACAAGCCGGGTGCAACAGGGAAAGGATATGTTCACAGAGGTCACAGAAAACAGAATGGCAGCTTGCTGACAATCATTTCCTTATTCCCAAACCGTTACAGATAACCAGCATCTTATTTTGTTCTTATTTCAATAAATCCTATTTTGTTTAAGATTGACCCAGAATTCAGTTCAATCCTTCCTCAGGGCCACATAGACCTTTGAAAGTCAAGACCCTGGGTCACATTACCAACAATAGCTAATGAGAGGAGATTTGGAATTTGTTTAAATTCCTGGTGGCAGCAGAAACTACCCAGAAACTACAAAGTATCATTTAAAGTGAAAACCAGTCCTCCCCAAATAAGAGGACGCCACAACATAATAGAGAAAAATTTGGGCAATGCACGGCTACTCTGAATTCTCCGTAGAAGCTTGAATGACTTAATTGAGGCTATTATACAGAACACAAGTGTCACTGGAAAATACAGTAATGCAAGGATAAGTAGAAGGCAGCAAGAAGAGAGGAAAACCCAGCATGAGATGGAATGATTCAATAAAGGAAGCCACAGTGCTCAGTATGCAAGAGCGGAGCAAGACTGTTATCCATAGATCCTTTGGAGGTCATTAATTCATAAGGTTGCCATAAGTCAAAAGACACTTAATGGCATCACAGACATTATGCATGCGCGCGCACGCACGCATGCACGCACACACACACAGGTAGTGAACCTTGCTGTCAGACTAGGCGTATCTTAATTCACAGGACATTGCCTATTTCCACCTTGAAAATGTGACTCCGCATCTTCTGGATTTCTCTGACCCTCCTTTAATGTCCACTGTTCACCCAAAGAAAGAAATCAGCCGAGGAGCTTATGAGATCAGAATCCCACTGGTAGGTAACGTGAATGCACTTTCTATAAGAACCTAAGAGTACTGTTGGATCAGGCCAGTGGGCCATCTTGTCTCGCCTCCAAATTAGAAAGAAAGGAAGGAAGCCCTAACCAGAAGAGTCTCTGACCATACAAAAAGGAGATATTGGGGACTTAAACCACCCCCCCCCCAAATAATAAAAGAAGAGCCTGTAGTAGGGTTGCCAAGTCCTATTTACTCACCGGCGGGGGGAGCGTCCGCTTGCTCCGGGAGCTGGCTGGGGACGCGCGTGCGCCAGAACATTACCGGAAGTGACGCACGACGTAGGGCACGTTGGGGGCGTGACCCAGATCATCGGGGGGGGGAACCATATGGTTCCCCCCCCCGATGATCTGGGCCACGCCCCCAACGTGCCCTACGTCATGCGTCACCTCCGGTGATGCAGCTTTGGGGGGCGGGGTTCCCCCCGGGGCCTGATTCCGCCGCGGCGGGAATTGGGCCTCCAAAGCAGGGGTTTCCCCGCCCCCCGCCCCCACTTGGCAGCCCTAGCCTGTAGCTTCAACAAACCTATTTCCTCCATGGCTGTTGCTAGGCAACCACCGCCTTCCATGTTGGGTTTGAATGAGTTGAAGGCAGAGGGAGGGGGCAGGGTCCTTTCTGGGGTTGTTTTGGGCTTTAAGGAAGGACTCATGGGGGCCAGGCCTGGCTAGGGATGCCAGCTCCAGGTTGGGGAATTCCTGGAGATTTGGGGGTGGAGTGTGATGAGGACAGGGATGGGGAACTGGGATTAGAGGAACGGCTATCATGTCAGAGAGCAGAGTTGGGTCCTGGCATCTCACTTTCCCAACCAACGCAGCTTCTTTTGTTCCAGGAAGGTGGCTGAATTTGTCCACCAGAAATAGAGTCTTTGGGACAGGTCCAAGGCCTAAAGCGTTTGTGTCCACACTAAGATTGTTTTGACGGCACAAAGGGGCTGTGTTTTTGTTCTTAGGCTGTCCTGCCAAGAGACCCTTTCTCCCCCACCACGGAAGGCACCACATTAAGCTGCTTGGAACTGAACGTCATCATCCGAACGAAGAAACTCAAACAGGTACAGACTGACATTTCCTTTCTTACAAAAAGCCAACACCTGGACCTATATGTATGGACTGGTCACTTCCATTTCGATGTATCTGAGGAAGTGTGCGTGCACAGGAAAGCTCCCACCTTGAATAAAACTTTGCTGGTCTTAAAGGTGCCACTGGGCTCTGACTTTGTTCTTCTCCCCCCACCATTTGTTTTGGCCTCCCCTGCCTTTGCTGCTCGCGCCCGGATGCCGGCGCCTCAGGCAGGTTCACGAGTCACGGCCTCCTCCCTCTCTGTGGTGACTGTTTGCGGCTGCAGCAGCGGACCAAGTTGGGAGTTGGCTTCTAACAGCCAAAACCAGCCTGGAAGCTATCAAAAGAAGAAAGAGCTCAAAGGCCAGGCCTGACGCCTGCTTCTGGTTGGCAACTCTGGTTTGGGAAATCCATGGGGATTCTGTGGGTGGTGCCTGTGGAGGGTGGGGCTTGGGGAGGGGAGGGGCCTCAGCAGCGCATAATGCCATAAAGTCTACCTTCCCTAAAAGCCATTTTCTCCAGGGGAACTAATCTCTCTGTTCTGGAGATAGAGAGGCCAGCCTCCGAATGGGACCGGAGGATCCTTGGAATTACAGCTCATCTCCAGACTACACAGATCAGTTCCCCAGGAGAAGAAGGAGGCTTTGGAGGGTGGACTCTATGGCACTGTACCCCACTGAGGTCCCCCTGTCCTCCCCAGGCTCCATCCCCAAATCTCCAGCGGTTTCCCAACCTGGATCTGTCAAACCTTTCTCCCAGGGGGGACCTGGCAATCCTAACTGGAGATCAGTTGTAATTATAAGATCCTAAGAAGACCCCTGCTGGATCAGACCA